ACTATGAAGACTCGATGCGTTTAAACCATGCAACGCCGATCAGTTCGTGGTGATCACAGCAAGCGATTAGACCAGAGGAGTTTGACAGAGAAAAATGGCTATTGGCAATATCGACCGGCAAGTTACAAATGTTTTATTAAAAAGACATAATAGAAAAGTGCCCGAAAGTCTAACTGTTAGTTCAACTGCATCTTTAGAACCTCTAGCTGGCCCAAGTGGTCTTTGTCATATCTTAAACTCTCCGTCAGCATCTGTAGCGACTATAACATCAAACGCTCTTATAAATACTAGTGAAAGTTCGTCAGAAGAGCAGGACCCACACGGTGGAAAATTCTTGTGGTCTTATCCTCTTCAGGGAACAATAAAAAATCCAGTTAGCAGCCAAAAAAGACTTAAGCTTACTTACATACACTTCTAGAGCCGCCGATCTGACAGGTGTGTCAAATAGGACTGCTGCAAAAATTGCAAATGCTGTTTTAGAAGATGTTAATTTGATTTCCAAAGATAATACGGACCTAGTCATTGACAAAGATAAGATTCGGCACAAAAATAAGAAGGGCACACAAAGGGTCTTTATTCGTATTCCGGGCCTATTGGCTCCACCTTTCCCAACTGCGAAAAAATGTCTGTTGTTAAATTTGACCCCATACAAACTGATCTTCCGGTTGTAAATAAAAATGATTTAAGTACAGACCAATAATATCTGTATAAAATATCTAAAGCTATCGGAGATGGACTTATATAGAGATATAAAATATTTAAAACTCTCAGAATTTGGCTGACAGATGTCCAGGAAAAATGGGACACTTCCGTTGGTTAACAGCAGCTAACTGCATTCTTCGAGTATACGTAGCTACAATTGATCCTTTCGAAAATTTTAAGAAACTGGCTGAGTTTGTAATAAAAGTGTATTCCCGAATGTGGTTTCAAATAAAAACGCAACCGAAATTGGAATACGGCGCCAGGCATCTATGAAAATTCATCCACCTCTCAAGAGACCTGCCATTTCGTTAATTATCAATAATCACCTCCTCGTGGTGCGTTCTGGGTTGGATCAATAATTGGAATGTTTGAAATAGGTCGTAACCAATGATTCAATGTAATCAACATTTTTTGGAACAAGAGAGCTGCTCATAAATTATAAATAATGCTCACTCTTCCGATCACTATATTTTACATCATTTGTCTGGGGGGCCTGTCTAAAACTTATCATATCAAGGTAAAAATTTGTATGGAAGATTATAAGATCGACATATACATTTTAAACAGTAGCCCTCCCAAAAAGAATTTTTTTTGGAGCTCCTAGGTGCCCGGTTAAAAATTATTTAATCCGGGCCAAATTTCATATGGAATATTGTTACCACCATACAAAAGTTTTCTTTACTAGCCCGATACAAATTTCTCAACAAATTTTTTTTCAGTGGTTTTCGGCCCGGCCTGCTGTACAAGCGTATTAATTGAATAGAGAGACGTAAAACTATTGCATTTATGGAAGCGCTAAAACCAAAATTAATAGTTTTTAACTGTTACATGATCTTTCATTATGATCACCCATTTCATTTGGATACCTGGAAATTGACACATTCTGAAAAGAATAGGAGCTTTTGCAATATTAGTAAGCATCCATTTTTTACTTACTGAGCACCTGTGTAATCAAAGTTTTGACAAAAACCTTCGAGGGACAAGTTACTTGAGCTTTACCAACTTGTTTCCACTTTTTGTACTAACGCCAAATAAGTTATTGTTAATTAATAAATAATGTGATTTTTAAGATTTAAAAATGAACAAATGTTCTCAGTTTTGATCTAATCTAAACATACCAGCAACATATTTCCACTGCAAAACGCAATGTTTGCAAGTTTTCTTTGGTAATCTATATTTCATTTCATAAATCCTGTTTCCCTCTTTCGGGAAATACCGGTAGTTCCTGTGGTCAACGCCCTCTTGAGGCTTCATCAGTTTCAGAATATTTTGGTCCAAACAATTCTGTGTTGCCGTTTTATAGTCTGTAATGCGTCGTAATAAATTTAGTTTGTTGAACGGCTGGTCATTTAAACTTACCAGGGCATAATCTAAACTCAAAATAACCGTTATGATTTGCTGTCAGTTCCACACGTATATTTGCTATTCCCCCAACAGCATATTTACGAACGATAACTCCCTGTCCATAAACTCCACCAAATTCGTGCGCTCGAGGTTTTCTGTTGAAGATGCCTAGTTAAATACTACAGATTATTAGATCTACGAGTTTTTACTTGGTGTCCCAAGGATCTCCGCAAATTCCGCATTTGCCGTCGTTCTTCACCCATTGCCTGGTAAATCCCCCACAGTACAGCTCATGATCGTTGTAGTTATGAGGAGTGTCAAACCCATATCTCCAGGCTGAGGCTCTAGAAGGAGGTTCTATGAGCCGGCCATGAGAATTAACATAGTCCACTGCCCATAAGAAGACTGTTAGGACACAAAATACTGACGTTCCCATAATCTGGAACAAGACAAATTTATATTTATAAATAATATAATGCCAAAAAGATCATGGCAGTTCAAACGGTACCAGCTAAAACGCAAATTTAACACACGATAACTGAAACACAAACCCCAATCAAATTTTGAAATTGCTTTTCGTTCGAGCCTTTCAATAAAGCCAATACTATGACCTTAGCACGAGTCTTATTTGAGTTTAAAGTTCTGTTTTTATTATGCAGGGTGTCCCGACAAGGTTAAAGAGCGGCTGTATCTCGACAATGGTAAGGATTAGCGGTTTGAAAAAAAATCGTTATAAGTAAAGTTGGCATAAAAACTGGCTGTAAAATGTATTGAAGTTTGTAGCTAGACCACTACGGGGCGAAACGTCTACCACATAACAAAAGATGAGCTATAACTTTAAAAACGTAATTTGAGAGCTTGGGTAATACCGCATCGTTTACCTCTCTAAAAATTTTTTGTATCGTTTGTAACAAAAGACGGGAGGCCAATGCAGTCTTCAATACTTTCATTTTAATATCTGCTGAAGTACTTAACCGATTACACTATTTTTAAACTAGTTTGAAAGAAAATTTTCATATCTTTCAAAGGGCATTTTTTATTAAATCGTTCAGTTCTGAAACAAATCCTGTATTGCGTTTTATGCAGCGATTATAATTTTTTGTGATTTTTGGAAAATAATTAAATGGAACGATATTCTTCATTTGACATGCTCTTACACAAGTTTAAATTACCTACAGTTCAGTTATTCTGATTTATTTTCCTGACTGCGTGTCATTGTTATGATATTCTTATCTTTCCTGGGTCTCAGTCAAAGTGTAAAGTAAACATTTTTAACATCTTTTATTTCATTACGTTTCGGCGAGACAACAGCGCCATTATCAACCAATCGTCAACAATATAAGTACACCAACTTAGACAGGTCACCACTTAGGACAGTCAGAATATCATGTTAAGGACTCTTGGAATTTCTGTGAATTTATCAAAAACCAAAAAATACCACAAAATTACTGTTTAATATCGCTTGATGTAACATCATTGTATACCAATATCCCAATTGAATATGCAATAGAGTGTATAAGAAATAAATGGAAGGAAATCGAACAACATTTAACAATTCCAGAAAAAGAATTTACTAAAGCGGTAGAGCTATGCTTAAACTCTACATATTTCAAGTTTGAAGAAAAATGTTATTCACAAATATACGGTGTAGCAATGGGTTTCCTCATCACAATTGCAAACCTTGTTATGAAAAGCTTGGAAAAAAACACAATAACAAGCCTAAATTATAAACCAACTTTCTTTAAACGCTTTGTGGATTATTGCTTAATGTGTCCACCCAAAGATAAGATTCAATACACCCTAGATAAATTTAACAATTTTCACGACACTATAAAGTTTACAATAAAAAAGGATAAAAATCAATCAATACATTTTTTAGACATAACAGTAAATTATGATAATTCAGGTGAAATAGAAGCAAATTGGTATACAAAAGAAGTTTAGTCAGGGAGATATTTAAACCATAATTCATTTGTACCCCAAAAATATAAAAAAAACGTAATAACTACACCTACAGATAGAGCGATAAAATGATCGTACACAGATTACAGACAAGAAAATTGAAAAAAAAATCAGAAAAATATTACTTAATAATAACTACCCAAAAAAAATTCTGAACCAATAATAAAGCGAACAATTAACAAGATTTACAACTCAACTAAATATAACAATAATGAGGAACAAAGACACAATACATCTATATCACTACTATACAGGGTTGCTCATTAGTGCGTCAAAGTGCGATATCTCAGTAAATATGAAGTTTAGAAGAAAATTCGTCCAACGAAAGTTTTTCACGTTTAAAAGGTCCACATTCTAAAATTACTTTCCAATATACAGGGTGCATCATAAACGTGTGGTAGTTACCAACTCTGGTTTTTTAAATGAAACCCCCCCTTTTTTTTGTTATTTTCAGATTGGTCGTTCAATTTTAATTTATGTTTGTTTCAACCGTTTTACCTGAAAAATTTACGATTTCCGAGTTATTCGTAAAAATGTGAAAGTTTTGACAGCTACTGGGTTCCACAGAAATCGATGCTGTACACTAC